AAAGAGGCCTACGATCTTACCACCTTCCAGACACTAGCATTTCCATTCATTTCAAATCATCCCCTAGGAAGCCCTAAATATTCCTTGTGTATATAGAGGCCCCTGCTTGCAGAAGCAGTGGAGAAAGGAATTGACTGAGGTATATGCAACCTGTTGGGTTTTAACCATTATGCCCACAAAATACACAAGCAATGCATAAGCCCAGGAGTACTATGAAAGAGTAAAGCTGATTTTTCAAAGGGTGTAGAGCCCCATCACAAACTGGTTTTTGAATCCCTATATCCTAAACTGCCTCCTTCCTAACCAGGGACACCTCTGGATTAAGTTATTGAGTTATCTGGCATGGATTCAGCTCCTATTTGTATACAGGCGTACCTTGGTGATATTATTTATTTATTGCAGGTTCAGTTCCAGTCCACCACAATAAGTTGAATGTAGCAATAGCTCGGGTCTCATATAGTTATACAAGAGGCCTAACTGTTGACCTATCTTGTATTAGACATGCCTTCCTCACTAAGCTTAATCATTTCTAGCTTCCTCTCACTTGAATGCTTAGGGGCCATTGTAGGGCAGTTATAGTAATTGGGCTAATTTGCATACACACTGTTGCCTCTCAGGGATAGGGAGGGTCAAGGGGAAGGAGAGAAATGGAGGAATGGCTGGTGGATGGAGCAAGCAAACCATCCCAAAACAGTTGCAAAGGTCACAGTAACATCAAAGGTCACAGATAATCATAGCACTTAATGCAGTACAATAATGAAAAAGTTAGAAATATAGTACAGAATTGCATTACCAAAATGCAATGTGAGACAGACACACAAAATGAGCAACCCCTTTTGGGAAAATGGTGCCAATAGAGGAGTGTGCTCGACACAGGGTCATGTCCAGGAAGTGTAATAAAAGAAGGTAGGCCTCTATGCTACAAATACTTGTAGTGGTCTTCAGCTTTACTTTACCAGTGTCAGTCCCTCAAATTTTAGGTGGAGCTGTATGTGTTCATAAACATTTAACTGAGGTAAAGGAATCTGTGTTTATGGCCTGCTGTCTTTGGATAAAAGTATTAAATCGCTTTAGTTTCCTCTCTCTCCAGGTTCAATAAGTGCCTACCGGTCACAGTGTGCATAGCTGTTATGTTCCTAAAAAATAAGATCTTTACTGAATGTTCAAATAATAAGTTTGATGTTCTTGGAATAAAAATTTCTCAGTGCTTCCATTACAGTTTTAGAACTAGAGTTTAATAACTTTCATACTTGTATTTATGACTGGCTTTAAGCATCAATGTTTTTGAAGATCTTTATTGCATGATCCTGCTCAGGGCAAAGTATTCTATTTAAATAGAAAAGATTTAAAAGAAATCTAACTTTAGTGCTTAGCTTTGCTTAAAACATTGGTTACTCCTCTAAATCTTTTTAGAGATTTTGTAATGTAAATATTTGTTGCAGAAATATTGACAGTTGAATGCAACTACAGCAGTTCTTCACGGAACAGAAACAGAATGGATATCCCCTTTCCTGCAGCCTTCCACGCTCTCTAGTTATTCTGCAAATTATTAGGGGATTCTGAGGAGCAAATTTGGGTGGTGCATCATGGCCTTTAGGGGGAAGAGAGAACAGAGAAGTTGCACTGTTTGAGTGGAGATCCACTTGTCTGATATTGGTTTAAGCCATGGTTTTCAATTTGCTAAATACTCTGTTATTGCTCTTAAAATTACAAATGCTTGTTTTGTGTGATTTGCAAACCCCCCAAATAGTGCATCTTTTTATTTATTTACATCATTTATATATGGCTCCACATCTAAAGAGACTTCATGCCTGTTGCTGTTGTATTTGGATATGAAGATTTAACTGCATTAAGGTTAAGTTGGGTAGGGTTTTTTGTTTTTTGTTTTTGTTTTTTTTGGCTGTCTGAAACAAAAAAGTGAGCAGAAGAAAGCATGGACTAAAATGTTTGGAAATAATTTAATTATAGTGCTTCTTATATTAATCACATGAGACTATTTAAGATGTGACATCACAAAAAGTGTATTTCATTACAAGGACAACCTCTAACCCTTACTTCTGCATTTATAAAGTTGTTTATATTTGAGGGAGAAAGCCCACTCAGATCCTGAGGTCATATGTCATCGCATGTATAATGGGAAGGGTAATCAATTCTTCCAGTTTTTAATGTCATCAAGTCATATTTTTGTTGATAAGGAAGATGTGTTTTCATGCTTTGTTATTAGGTAAGAACATGAGACTTATGACTGACCTAGAAGCAAAATGATTATCTGGAAAGAACAAAAACACGAAGCTCAGAATTGGACTTTCTGGTGAATGTAGAATATACAATAATGCAAGAAATGCTTACTAACTACTGAGCTTTGCCATTTCTGCCATTTCTGAGCCAAGCATTTTATTCCTTGGTGGCAAAGTCACCTCCTTGGTTATCTAAAGAAAGTTGCAAGTCTTTTAAAAAGGCAAAAAGTGTCAAATTTGATACTTGAGTCAAGTATTGGAAAAGGAAGTTTTGGCTGCGCCTCTACAGGGGTTTAAAAAAACCCCCTTCCTGTGGGTAAAAGAACCTGACCACAAGCTGTTGGGTCACAACCATGTATCAGAGCAGCTTCAGGGATAGGAGATCAGCTGAACGCTGTTGATGACAGTATGCTGGTGTTTTACACAGCAACAAGCTCCAAATGACATAGCTTCTCTCAAGAAGCTTATAGTCAAGGTTTTGACTAGGTAGAAAGTTGAGGCAACAATTAGAGTAATGAGAAGGAGAGGAAAAGTAACAAAGGATCAATGTTGGCAAATGCAACTCTATGTAAATATTTCCATTGAGGACTAAACCTTTCAGCATTAGTCATCAAATAAGTATATTGTTTCTGCCTGGAAATGTTCTCTTTGCTTCCCTTCTCCATCAGCACAAAAGAATGGATAACTTTCCATGCTAATATAAAAAGCAGTAGGAAAAATATTCCTGCAGTAATTTTCTGTGGTAGACAGAAGTGTAGATACACAGTTGCTTTAGCTTGGGTGAAGAGAACTGGAGACACTCACAGATTGATATTATTGACTTATTTGTGGTGCTAATGGGCTTTTGGGGAGTGGGGATGAATTGGTAAAATTTGTCTAGGTAATTTTTCTAGGTTATTTGTATCAGAAAATTTTTGGTTTGTAGTGGAAAAAGTTCTAATGGCCTAGAATCGAGGAAGACTTTTCTAATCCCTATTTGCACATGCAGATCCCCATCTATTCAGACATGCAAGCATGAAATTGTCCCTACTTTCCCAGGTGGTCCCACCTGGATTCCTGGGCCACATATGATTCCCATTCCCCCCAACCAACCACTGCTCTCTTTAGCACCTTCTGGGGTCCCTTGTTCTTGGTGGCTGGGCAGTGCAAAGGAAAGCATTGGCTAGCAGTTGGAAACTGTCAACATTTTCTAATAATATTTCTGACATGGCATGACATGACATGTCTCCATGTGTGGTCCAGAGGTGTGCATAGAAATAAAAATAGGTGTGGTCACAAGCTCTTGCTGTGCTTTGAAGCAACCTGAACTGTAAGACACTTTCTTCAAAAAAAGAAAATTTGGACATGTAGGGCCCCTTGATGGATTGCAAAAGAAAGTGCCTGGATTGTACTGGTGTCCAGAGGCACCACCCTCCTATCCCTGCCCTGGAATCCACTTAGGCATGCAGTTGTATGCCTGTTTAGAAAAATAATCCTACAACTCCAAGCCTTCCCCAACCAGCCATGCTGGCTCATATAAGACAGGACTCGGAGATGCCAGGATCTGTGTGATATTTTGGGGTCAAGACATGCAGAGGGTTGTGTCCTTATGTTGCCTGTATTTAATCAATCACTAAGCTTTTAAAAAGTAGCCTGAATAAATGTTTCATTCATTGAAATATTTGAGGGGGAAAGTTAAAGCAGACTTCATATTATTTGAATGTTATATTATGTAGAATATTGTACTGGGATACTTTTAAATATATTAGCATGTTTTAATTTATTTGTTCGTTTGTTTATTGGATTTTCATCCTGCCCCATTGGGCACAAGGTTTCCTTTCACTGGTTACTTTTAAGAGGAAAGGCAACAGTATGGAAAATGCTTGACACTCTAATACGTTTTACCAGTCTAGAGAAATGGGAGTGATTTGCCACATATCTCTTTCCACCTTGTTCAGCTTCCTTCTGTTAAGGTTACAGGGCCATCTTCAGTGCCGTTGTCACGACTTATGAGGTCCATTTCACACTTGAGAATAGATGTGTTTTAGTGGCTTCCACATATTCTCTCACGTACTTGCTAGGGATAATGGCTTGAAAAATATTAATTATAAGCTTGCTTTGTATTCTGTTTGTGTTTGGCATCCATTCTAATGACTACATGAAATGGAAAAGTTTCTCTGGAAATTGTCCATTTTGGCTCTTTTTCTGTGCAAAATTTCCACTGGCTCTGTGTTTTCATGTATTAGTAGAAGAGTAGTACTTAATAGAATTCATGGATGAATGATATCAAATTAAAGGATGTGTTTGAGGTTCTCTCATGGTACAGTAAAAGAACAATAAAGTTGCCAACTCTTGCATAAAGTTTATTTTGGTAATTTAGCTTCAGTAGTCATAAAACCTATAACATTTCATAGGCCTCTCTGAAGTGGAAATTACTATCTTCAAGTGTGTGTTTCCTATTTTTAAGAATTTAAAAATACTATTTAGCCCTACATGCTGTGCTATGAAATGGCCCTACAACCCTATGAGCAGTGTATTTGCATCATAAAGTCTGTGTCATCCCCTTGCACTGCTTTAATTGAGTTGTTCTGCATGCTTCCAAGACGTCGCACTGAGTCTCGAGCTCAGTGAACAGCAGGTATATTTGGAACGCAGCATTGTGACGCCCAGCGCTGGTGCTTCAGAGCCATTAGTCACACTCATGGGGCAGTCCAGTTTGTATCGTATGTGCTAGAGCTGCTCTCCGCGTCCGTCCTTCTGACTGTTTCGTCCTGTCCTTTGCAGCAGCCCATCGTGCCTGCCCATCCAATGGCTCCTCCGAGCCCCAGCATCACCAGCAGCAACAACAACAGCAGCAGCAGCAGCAACTCAGGATGGGATCAATTAAGTAAAACGAACCTTTATATCAGAGGGCTGCCTCCAAACACCACTGACCAGGACTTAGTAAAATTATGCCAACCGTAAGTAGACATTTTGCGACAGAACGGAGACGTATGAAAAGTATCGAGATGGCTGTGTTGAATAACCCACTCTGTCGACAGCACGATGAGTGGCTTCTGACCTCCTCTTAGATGGCAGCAGCCACTGAGCTTCACCACTGGCTCAGCTGGCTTGATCACTGGCTCAGCTGGAGAGGTGGTCCACCATAACGTGAAGGGCCACACACCCCTTCCCACTACTGGTCTGGATCGTGCCCATGGAGAGGGGAGGGGACAAATTCCTACTAGACTTAGCTTTTCTCCAAAAAATACAGCTGCAAGTCAGAACTTGAGGCAGCATGTGGATGTCTGCATATTGCAGAGCATCTCTAGGTGTGGTCCCGGTAAACTATTCACCTGGAAGGACCTCTTACTTTCATATCAATATAACTCTGTTGTTGGTACACTTTAATTAAAAGGCATGTTCTGAACTTGACACAAACTACCAGCATGTTTGAAAATCATGTTGGGGGATGTTGGGTTGGATGCAGAGTGCCCTCTCTTACGTGCCAGATGTCTTCCACTCATGGGAAGCCTATTTTATGCCTTGTGCTGCATGAGAAATCCTAACTAAATCTAATGAAGACCTTCTGCAGGCACAACAACTTGCACAACTGGAAGCATAACAGCTAGTATAGAACCTCCTTATTCTAGTATGATTTGTACCTGATACAAGTTCCTGCATAAGAATTTGCTGAACCGTGCTAGGGCCATTTGCGCTTGGGATCCAACCCATTGTTTTTTATATGAATCAATTGGCAACTGTGTACAACAGATACAAAACTGTTCTGAGTTGCAAATACTCTTTGCTGAGTTGTGCACATGATGCTGTAACACATGGCAAGTTGTCTTTCCTGCTTAGAGTTCCTTTTTTGGCAGGGCTTCCCAATGGATGAGCATTTAGCTGCAATAGCACACAGACCGGTTCATACTGCAGCATCTTATTTTGCATCCTGTATTGATTGACAATTGGAGCAAAGTAATAAAATTTGTCCTTAATTTATGTAACAATTCCAGACACATTATTTGTGTTTCTGTTCTTGCTTCCAGGGTCTCTGCATGGCCCTGGAACACTGTTGTAGGCAGGTACCACATAATACATTATATCCAGTAGGGAAAGTGTTGCATTTCAGCAGTGCATATGGCACCCAATATTAGGGGGCTTATTTATATTAAATGCCGCTTTCAGAATTACCTTTTGAGAAGAACCTTATAATGCTTGTAAAATTGTCAATCTGTCTAAATTGCATGTTGTCCTTGCTTGGCTTTACTGAGTCTTGCTATATTCCTGTTATCAGTGCTATATGTAGACCAGTGCCTTTTGTTGTCTTGTGCAGTTATTGAAGGATGGCTTGAAAGCAAACCTGTCTGGTGAAATCTGGAAAAGAAAAAAGCACTGTAGTTTCTTGGAAATTGTTATTATAAGGCATGAACCTTTGAAAACACATGTCGCAGTAAGCCACGTACGCTGCACTCCTATATTCACTTATCTGCGAGTGAGCTCATTGAACTCCAGTTGCTGAGTTATAGAATAACTTGCAGTGTTGGTCTCTAAGGTGCCAAAGCAGTTTTGGCAGCTTACTGCTAGAAAACTGACTTCCAAAGAATAGGTTTTGCTCACTCGAAGGCTATCCTGGCTGTCCTAGCTGCTCAGTCTGGAGATGGGCAGTGAGAAATCCAGGTTTTAGAGTTCGTAGAACTACTGGCATTTTTTTCTGGAATGGTTATTTGAAAGATTGCTATCTAACTGCATGACTGTTCCACTTGCATCTTTCTATTCCTAGCAGTCCTGTTATACTTTTGTATACATTTTGTACTGGATTGAACGCTGCACGCTCTCGCGCGCGCGCGCGCGCGCGCTCTCTCTCTCTCTCTCTCTCTCTCTCTCTCTCTCTCTCTCTCTCTCTGTGTGTGTGTGTGTGTGTGTGTGTGTGTGACAGATTAATGTGGAGAAGTATTTTTCATGAGGAGACCATTTGTTGCTGGCATCTTTTCTCTTTGGACATCTTCCACTGCCCACCTCTGTTTGTCTAGTATTTCTAGCTAGTGGTTCACTTGTGCCCTCTCCTAGCAGATTGGAACAGTATAGTATAGTGCAAGTTAGCTACTCACCTGGGAAAACAGATGTTTTCAAATGGCATTATGGGAATTCTAACTGCAGCTGGGGTGAGGGACCTCAGCTTTCAGTAGGTTGCTTTACTTTGGAGCTCTGCCATGGGATAGCCAGTTCTTCCTTCTCCTTTTTCTAAGATAGGTTGAGTTTGCATATTGCATTGGACAAGCTCTTTGCATTTTCAAATCCTCTTATAAACTCTTCATGGAAAAACAATACTACTGGGATGGGAACATCTCACTGAAACAAAAGATGACTGAGACAAATGCCTATATAAATCCTGTAAGGTTCATAATCTGAGGATAAATTATGTTCTGATTTAAGTCTGGAAAGCTATATGCATGTTTTGGGCACTGAAGAAGGCATTAATGCCAATGAGAGTTGAAGGAAGAAGCCCAAATATGAGATGAGTTCAAGAAGACCAAATATGAGATGCATCTAGTCCATAAAGAAATCCACAGCCTTGAGTTTACAGGAGCTGAGCAGGGCTGTCAAGGACAGGACATTTCTGAATTGCATTCATTCAGAGGCTTGGCATAGGGCACAGATGACTTGACAGCAAACACCAAAAGAAGTACTTCTATGGGAATATTTTCTTGGCTGCCATCAACCCTTTTCCAGAAAGGTATCCTAGAGCAAACCTGCTTGAACACAGCATTGCTGTCAAATCAAAATTACTTCTCTTCCCCAACTGTATAATAGGGAGTATAAAGTACCCATGGACATATGTAATATATAGTATCATCCATGTCCATGAATGGATAGTTCACTAGGTTGAGCTAATCCAGGATGAAGTTGTTTTGCTATTAAAGTTTAGAATGTGGCCTGATCATGAATCAAGCTTGAGCCTGTGTTCTGCATGAATCCCTACTTATGGTTATTTGCAGGTTCTTTGTATGACATCATGACCCTCCAGTTTCACTTCTGGTTCTAACCAATGATGTCCGTGTGGTTTTTTAAGAGAAGATGTATGGGGCATTTAGTAGTGAAAACAAAAAAAATCCATAATTCCTCTTACGAATGTGTACCACAGTGCCACCTAGAGGTTACGTAATGGAAAAGCAGAAAAATCAGTGCTTGTGTAGTGCTGGTATCTCAATTCTGCTATGAATTTAGAACTAGATAGAAAAGATTTACAGCCACATAGAGAATGCTATATCTTGGTGGAGAAATTTGGTGGAGAAACATAATTAATAATGCCTAGTATGCATGTTCTATTGAAAATTTCTTTGATTTGTTTAAATCTTGGCAAATCTAATTGCTGATATAATGTAAACAAACTTCTCTGAAATTCCATGGTGGTGGTAATGGGTACCACATTGATGTTAAACTTTATCATGGTTAGGAAAGCAACTTGTTTCTGATAATAACATTTGTCATATAATTGTCAGTGTAGATCATTATACTCTTCCTGGATGGATCACAGTCTTTTAGAGGATGGCTTGGTACATCATGTTTAAGTAGTAGATCTTCTGCAGTGGCAGAGAGTTCTGTGTATGTTAATGGCACATTCTCAGCTCAGTGATGGATCCATTTAAGATGGGTTAGTTTTCAAGCACCTGAGCAGTTTATGACCCAGTAGTTTGGCTGAGTGGTAGTGGGTGGGCTACAGATGACCTCGGCACTGACCTGACCTTTCACTTATACAGAGATCTGCCAGTGATTGCAAAAGAGAGTTTTCCTTCTTTTGGGCTTGGAGTCAGTATGGTAGGTCTGAGCAGTACACAAAACATTAACTCCTTCTTGGACATGGGCATATACCTCTGAATTAACAATATTCCACTTCCATCTAAGGAAAGAACTTGGGAAAGTGAGTTTAATTCTCTGCTAGCGAAAGTGAGTTTAATTCTCCGCTACCAGCACAGATACAAACTTAAACAACTTCTTGCTGTTCCCCCTTTCTCCTGCATGCCCTTCGGAAAGCCATCAATAAGATGGCTGGGAATTTATCTCCTGATGGCCTGGAAACCAGCACTGATGCACATGATCAAGGATGCAGATTTATTGTCACCTCTCCTTGTTTGGTCTCCAATCTCTAAAGGCTTACATAGTGATAGATTCAATGCTGCAGCCCACATCCACCCATTATGCCTCTTGCATAGCAATGGAGGACCCTAGTTGAATATTTCTTGTCATATATCCGTCTCTGCATATCCAAACCACCCCCTCCTTCCCTCAAGCAGCTTACAGAATCTTATTGCTATTATTATATTCTGCTCAAAAAAAAAACCCTCTCAACATTTGGCAAAATCAACAATTAAAGTACATCATTATAAATACAAAGGCCTCTCGATTAAAACATTAAAATATTTAAAACCAAAACTAAAAACTCAGTAAGTATTCACAAACAGAGCAGCACAATCATGCAGGGAACACTTGGGTAAAGAGATGGGTTTCAGCAGCTGCCTAAAATACACTGTCGTTGGCACCGCATAAATGCCAGGGAAGGGCAAAGAGTCTCTGTGCACTTGACTTCTGATTTGTGGAATAACAGTGGAGAATCTTGGCTCCCTGTATACATGAGCAGATTTTCTTAGGATACTCTCTTTGCATGTTTATATAGAAAAAAGGACTGTGACTGGCTGGGGCAAGCTGGGAGTTGTAGGACTTACTCTGTCTAAGCTTACAAGCATTGCACTATTATGCACCATCTCATAACACATCATGTTTAGGAATGGACTTCCTGCAATGGCAGAGGGTTGAACTGGGTGACATTTGTGGTTCTTTCTAATTCCTTGATGCTGTGAAATTTAAGGTTATCTCCATATGGGTGGCAGGACAGGTCACCTAGCACACTCTTCCTGTGCGTATTTTATTGGCCCATTCAAAAGAAACATTACTATGCTGTAATGCATGTGCACATCATTTT